GTGAGATGATGATCTTTGTTGGAATAAGCACGATTGTAACTGTAGCTGCTCCTCAGTGCTGGCAGATCCATTTGCACCCTCTGGGAGAATCTTAGGACATTTAGCAAGAGTGCAGGAGGCATCACTCACCAGGACCTTAGCAAGGGCTGCTGCCCTTATACACTCACACTCTTAACTCTTGCTGGAGCCTCCTCTTTGGGTAAATCAGGTGTAAGCATGGATCTAGAACAATACCAGTTCCTGATCCAAAAGCTGCAGCTAAACCTCCTCTCTGGGCTACAAGCTCAATGCAGATTTTCTAATAGGGACACTAGTTAGGGTATTTTCCTTCTCTTCTGCTCCTCCCAGATCCTAGCTTTGTTAGTTTTTGAGTTAGGTTTTAAAATCTGTTTTTGGCCTTCTAGGCTCTTTCAGTACTACTTTTTAGATAGCAATATTATTTTAGATAAATGTCATTACCCAGAATGGCCTTAAGGCCTTCTGTTAACTCAGAAAAGCATTCCACAGACCAAACACTGAGCCAAGAGGGTTTGGGGTTTTTTTGCTTATAGTACTTTCATTCAATTTGTTATGCTTCTGTTCAGCCTAACCTCAAGTAAACCTTATATAAATAAGGTCATGTTTTCAGTTCCCACAAATATATACAACACACTGCAGACAGAACCAACAAACTACACGCAATCTCCACTCCTTCTTTAATAACCGTGTCACGCACATTTGTACAACATAACCACAAACACGAAGCACACAGGGATCCATTGGACTTCTTTAGTAAGAGAAGGATCTTCAGATCAGAGTTGAAACAGTGTCATTGTGCCACCAAGGAGCCTCAGCACAGAGATAACCTCCTCCTCAAGGTGAGCTTTTATCACAGAGCATCAGTCTACTACTCACCAGTAAAGCTCACAGTCCTTGGGCACTACAAGTGTTCAGAAAAGACAATCAAAAGTGAACAGTACCTAAAATCATAGAATCCATCCTTTTTCAATTTTGTTTTAAAGTCTTGATAATTTTTACTTTAGCTCAATCTTAATGTGTCTGGTGGCAGAATGGAGCCTCAAACATGCAGCTTGCATAAGGACTGAAGTACAGGAAATCACAGTCATGTGGCCAGAAGGCACCTCTGGAGGCCTCAAGACCAAGTCCCTGCTCAAAGCAAGGCCAGTGCTGATGTCAAACCAGGTTGCTCAGGACCTTGACCTGCTCAGTTGTGAAAATCTCTATAGATAGAGATGTCAGAGCCTCTCTGGGCCACTGTTCCAGTGTTCAACTCCATTCCCTTGCACCTGGGCGGCTCATACCTGTTTCCATATTTCCAGCCCTCCCTTTTTGGAGTTTGAGTTCAGAGAAGCACAGCTGGATCAGCCAAGCTGCTCCCCTGCCTGCCTGAGTTCCAGCTCACCAGACGAGCCAGTTTTTGTTCTGTGAGCATGTTCTCTTGAGTTTCAATGCACCCTCCTGATCTCCATTGCCCCCATCCCATGTTCCTGAGAGGTCCTGACAAACCAATTTCCTAAACAAGACAAATTCTGTTCTTCTGAAGGCCAGAATCTTTATTCTACTATTTGTCTTCCTTATTTCTCTTGGGGTCTTAATTCTAAGGTCCTGGAGTCACTAATGCCAAGGCTGCCCTTTACCTTCACATTCCTTCCTTCTTTGTTTTTGAGTAACAAATCCAGCATCGGGGTCAAAAAAGAATGCTCTTGATGACCCACAAAAATTGGTTAGACTGTTTTTACCCCACTGGGTGCCTCTCCAGAGAGCAGAGCAATTTTGTATTCCAAAGCAGCCTGTACCTACAACTGTGAGCTCCTTGTAGTTATTTAAAGCTTCATCTGCTTCCTCTTCCTGATCAGACAATTTATAGAAGGTTCCTGCACAGTGTTCCCCATGCCAGTGTCTCCACCAATTTTGAACCCTCAGCTCTCAGCCAACTCAGTGCTTACTCCAACAAGCAGGGGAACGCTCCAGGCAAATATAAACTGTTTTGTGTAGAACACAACTTCCACTCATTTCCCTGTCTGCTTTTCCAAAAAAGCTTGAATCCTGCCATCTGTAATGTGCTGTGCCACACTGTCCCTGTGATGCCTAAAAGGTTCCAGCCCTGCCACTGTGCTGGTATGTCTAATCCTCTGGTTTATTTCCTATGTGTTGACACACTGTGTTCATGCTCCCTTTTCTGGGCAAACAAATGAGCCTCCTGTAACCTGGTGTCCCTAGCAATTCTGTTCACCCCCAACCTTCCATTATGTGTCTCTCAGGAACTGTCCCCATCTGCACAGGTCCCTCAATGGTGGATGTAACCTAGAGCTTAAAACATCAATTATCTGCAAAATGAAGCATTCCCTGTTAGCATGGCAGGCTGTGGAAATAACCAGCAAGACTGCACCCTCTGCATTCCTTGCAAACTCACAAAATTTAGGGCATTATTCTGTTCAAAAACCCAACTGTGATAAGCCAACATCATTATGTGGAAAAAAATGTTTTGACTTTTTGTCCTTAGTTACTACTGGAAGATTATTTTCCTTCTCTGTGTTTTTTCAATAGGGATCAACATGTGCATTCCCATTTGAGGTGCAGCAATGTTAAACCACTGCCCATTTGCTGCACTGGAAGATGCTGTGAATTCATTTCCTGAACTGTAATTTGAAGGGGTCCTGCATTTTGCTGCAACTGACCAAAACTGAAACTTGATGTAGAACTAAATAATTTAAACTAGGAAGAATTTCTCATACTGCTCACAGATTAAATTTTTCTTCCTGACCTTGGACAGCGCTGCCCAGCACTGTGACATCTGTTCCTTCCCTAAGCTGCTGCTCACCGTGGGCAGTGAACAGATGCAGAGCTGGGCCATTACACAGACAGGGTAGGGGAGATGGTCAATCATCCTGGTCATCTGATTGCTTAAAATGCAAAGCAGGATGGGATTTTAAAAAGGTAAAATGCTGGCTAAAGCAAAATACTTAATATGTTCTTAAATATAAAAATGGTTGAATAAAATGGGCTTATGGACCTGCTTAATGATTTCCAGTTCAGCTTCTTGATTACTCTACAAAGGTACAAGGCAGTACATATTACTGACAATTTTATAGCTTTTTTGGACCAGCATCCACACAGCAGTGCAAATATGCAACTTCTGTCTTAGATATTTCTGTTATTTTCAGATCATCTGAAATGACTGACACATCTACACCTCAGACCTAACTTAAAATAACTTCATCATGTATGACAATTTGTCAACTTTTTTCAAGTACATAATGCTCCCACAAAGTCAACAATTCAGTCATCAAGAAAATCAAACCAAATTTTTTTTTATTTTAGCTTATTGCCTTTGAAAAGCTTGATTACTTTGAATTTTATTAACAGAAACACAGTTTCTACATAAGAATTTTGTATTGGGGGCTATTTATTTCTGAGTTTTGAGATTTTATGTACTTCTACATACCTGCTTCCTTTTATGACTGAATTACCAAAGGGCAACGTGATTTACAAATTCAGAGTTAGAAACACAGTTTTGAAATACCACCAAGGGTATGTGGAATTAATGCAATATACCTGTTTTACGCCATTTTAAGAACTATTGGCCATAGTAAAATACAACTTTCATTAAAATTAAAAAGAAGAAATGCTATGCCTGCAAATAACCCCTCATGTTAAAGCAATTACATTCTACTTAAAACTCTGAATTAATGGTGAAGATTTGATAGTCAGAGCAGTCCTGGCCATATGCAGGCACAAAACAGCCAAGATTCAGAGCATGCATAATCAGTACAAATGTGTGGTCCTAGGATAACCTTTATTTAGTACTGACAAACTGAGAAGTGCAAAAACTTTACTGGTTTTGTATGTAACTCTGCGTGGTGGGTAGGTGTATGTTTTGGAGAAGCTACTCAATCTCCAATAACCTGTGATAAATAACTTAAAGAGGAACAATTTTCAGCTCCCCTGATGTTGCTGAAAGACTAACTGTCAAAAAAAAAAAAAAAAAGAATGTAAAGGTATGCACACAGGATGATAAACACAGCTGTGCAGAAACAGATAAGGAGGCCTACAATGGGTTTTTAGCAAATTTAATATAACCAGAAACAACAGGGCATACACAGAGAAAAACTTCAGGGAAAGTCACCTTTAATATCAAAGCATTCAGTGAATACAATCACCAAAGACCCCTCTTAAGAAATCTCCAGAACCATAAACTTCCAGTAAGAGGTGAATGCATGCATGTTAGTTCTAGGAAAGTGATATTTATATACTAAATAAGAAGCATGTTTTAATGAATATGTATAGTTATAATGAATAAAATCCCTGTCTCACTCCAGACACAGAATAAATCTACTGTGTCCTCCACAAGTAAAGAACGCCTGCTTTCTAATACTTCAAATTGTGTTAAAAAGTTTATTTCAGCCAATATCGGTATCATCTGACAAGTTCAGCATTTAGCAACTTTTAATTTTGCTGCACATTTTTCTTGTAAAAATAAAGTGCTGCTCTCAGACCAGTGTGATCCCTGCTGCAGGAATTAGTTCCATGGCAGTTCAGAGTGACCTAAAAATGACAGGCGCTGGAGCAGTGGGGACTCTACTTGGAGGGAGAAAAATGAGCTGCAGCCTACAGCTCCAAAGCCGGGGCTGACCTGCACCGCTCCGGGGTGAACACGGCCCATGGCCGGCACAGCATCACATCATCCCTGTTCGGGGATGCTGTTTATGGTAACAAACTCATTCCAGGAGCAACGCTCCGAACCTGGAGCGGAGTGGTTCTCGGCCCGGGCACCGAGGGAGTCAGAGGTAGGGAGACTTCAACCAGCGGTCCCTGGGTCACTGCGGTGCTCAGCCCCACGGGCCGGGGGTGACCGCGGCGCTGCCCCTCCCGCCGGGGCCGCGGGTGCTCCGCCGGGCCTGGCTCTCCCCTCTCGTGTCCGGGCAGTGGGGGGCCCGGGGCGCTCCGTGAGGGCAGCGCCGGCGCCACCGTCCCACCGCACCCTGCCCGCCGCTCCGCGGATCCCCGTCCCGGGCCGCCGCAGCGGGATGGCGCCGGGGCTGCTGGACCTGGTGCACTTGACAACCTGGGCCGTGTGTGCCGTGATCAAGCTGCCGCAGCTGGTGGCGGTGCTGAGGGCCGGCTCGGCGTGGGGACTCAGCGTGAGCAGCCTCCTCCTGGAGCTAGCTGGGTAAGGCGGCGGGAGCAGGGCTGGAGCCACGGGTCCCCTCGGCCGGGGGTGCGGGGCCTCGGGGCTGCTGCGGCAGCCGGGGACTCATTCCTTCCTCCATGACTCAGGTGGGGCCTGAGGGTGCGCTGAGGGGCGGGCGGCCTGGGGGCGGCGAGCACTCCCCGCTCCCGCGGAGCCACATCGCCCCGCTCGGAGCTCAGCACCAGCCCAGCTCAGCGCACAGAGCCTTTCGGGAAGGAACTTCCTGTTTTAGTGATTCCGCTTTTTCATTTAAAGGGAAACTCGTCTTTTTTTACTTGACCAAACCATCCCGGACCACTCATGTCGCTGCATACAGCAGCTGCAGAGGGTGTAAGCCTGTGTTTAGGTTATTCAGTGGCCCGTGTGCTCTGTGGTGCAGGTAGCTGTACTCGTCAGACAGGCTTCCCTCACCCGAATCAGTAAGACTTAAATAATTCCTTAAGAAAATTACAAGCCGTGTCAAACTCCAAAGACTTGTGAGCCTGTAATGAGCTTACATGGGCTAGGCTTATTAAATCTTGCTTAAAGAGGATTGTATGAAACGACAAACAAATAAGCTCGGTGTGTGCACGTTCGGGTGTGGGTACGAGCGAGAGAAAGCACCGTGAAGAGCCCTGCCTTGGCCCAGCCGGGGGCTTGAGGTGGGCAGAACACTAGGAAAGGGGTTTTATCCAGAAAAATCCCCTTACAAAAACGGCGTGGTGTGTCTGAGGGTGCCCGTGCCGTGTCTCCTGGCAGAGACACAGCTCCGTTTACAGACACCTCTCAGTGGAGCTGTGCGGGATCCCTCACGTTCCGCCGTGGCCGCTCCCCGCCCGCCTCTCCCTGCAGCACTGAACCCGAGTTTCTGCTGTTTACCCTTAACACACCTCCGAGTAAATGAAGCGAACTGGAGCTCCAGCAGAGATGACTGACCCCACAGCCTCAGCCAAAAAGCGGTGACAACACTTCAATAATTTGCGTGCGGTGGTGTGCATTAAAAAGTGTTTCTAAGTAATGTTTGAGATGAGCATGGAGAAGCTGGAAATGTCTCTTCAGCACCTGTGGGAGAACCATGGTACCCACACAATTACAGGTTCTGGTCTTCTTTGAAGCATGTATTGTATTTAGTAGCCTGTTTATCCTCCTACCTTTAAATACTTTGAATCCAGTTGCAGGGAGCTGAGTGACTACCACTACAAGCTGGGCTGGTTCTGTGAAATCAACATAGAGTGACCAGGTGTGAGGGGTGACAGAGACACATGGTGCTGGTGGCTAGGGATCTGATTTGACTCTATATCAAATAGCATTCCTAGGAAGTTCAGATATTTAAATTCTGAATGCTGTAAAAGCCAGTTTCTTACAAGGCAGGCTGTTCCTTCTGCCATTTTTCTACACCAGAAACCATAATATTTTTTCTTATGTAAAACTACTCTGAGTCCTTTCTGTTTTCCTTACAGCTTTGAATTTTCTGTCTAACCCCATGGACTTGCAGGAGAGCTGGAAGTACAGAAAACATAAAAGTTCAATTCCTTTTGGGTACTGTATTGTGGAATGGCAGGAAGGAAAGTTGCCATTGTTTGGTGCACTTAAAAACAGACTCTTAGTCTGACCAGTAGAGCTACACTCGTAGTGTAATCTCATAACAGTGCAGTCTAGACAGCTTGGAAGACATTTTCTACCCCTATAAAACTTGCCTAATGCACAGATTGAACTACAGACATAAATAAAGAAATCAGAGTTATCCTGGAGGTGCCAAGACTCTGGCAGAGAGGAGGTATCTCCTAGATCTGAAAGCCTTCATTTCTTTCTCAGCAATTATGATAAATAAAATTATGCCCTACAGATTGTGACATAAAGACCTTGGTGAGAAGTGTGGGCAATGAGGGTAACAGAAATAGATTACAGAATGATCAGGCTTGCTCTGTGTGCCTGTTGTTTGATCAGTTTGACAGCAAGGGCTACACCTATCTGGAGCCTTTTGGCACCACCAAAACAGTATAAAAGTTGTGAAGGCATTTGTGTCCCTCTGTGCAGTCATGTTTTGTATCTCTCTGTTCAGCCTCCTTGTGTTTCTGAGGTACCACATCTATTATGGTTACCCCCTGGAGACGTACCTGGAGTTTCCTGTCGTCATTGCACAAGGTAATTTTTGTAAGGCATGTTTTGGAAATGAAATGGGGCTCATTCAGCGCTCCAAGTCTCTGCATGTAAGTACAGTGCTCCACTGCAGTGATGCTGGACTTGGGGGAAAGAGGGAATTAACATCTCATATAAAACTGAATTCTTTTAAATGCCATTGAAAGAGATGGTCAGGTAGAGAAGAAAAACCTATTACACAGAGTCACAGTGTAAACTCGTCCTTTTGTCTGGTTTCTCCACTTGGGAGAGAAGCATACTAAACACTCCAGACTCTAAGGAAAGCTTAGTTTTGGAGATTGCAGTATTTCATCAATCACATTTGAGAGACAAAGCTGTAAGAAAGGAGTTTCCACAGACCTCGTGCCCAGTGGAACTGTCTGGGATTGTGTTTGGGCCCCTTCAGTCCTTTCTGTGACCAGCCACCTTTTGTTTATTGCAGATGTCATTCTCCTTGGCTGTATTATGCATTTCAGTGGAAAAGTGAGACGAGCTTGTTTCTATGCACTCGTGTATCCTTTGAAATCTGGGAGGTTTGGTTTATGTGGCTTGTTTGGCAGTTCTTTGCATGGCAGCTGTGTCATCATTTCTTGTGTGCTACTATTGTAAATCATTCTCAGGCACCCCTCAACATGTATTCCACATTCCCATGCTGATTTCTGGGATCACAGTAAAATCTCTGCAGGAAGTAAGCTTTATATGTTTGCTCTGCTTTAGAAGGCTCCCAACTGATAAAGAGTAAAATAAATTCTTAATTTACATCTTTTCTACAGGGATGCAGAGTAGAAATATAAGATTTTTTTTTAATTATTTTTTTTTTAAATTCCTGCCCCTGTAGGTTGTACTTGAAATAAAGACAGCACTGTTTGGGTTTTTTCTAAATAGGACTTGGGTTTAAATCTCAAATCTTGTGCTTTGGAGCAGGTTTTGAGAAACTCCAGACACTATTTGACCGAAGACAGTGTGAAAAATAGGAACACTTAGTGTTTCATCCAGTTTTGAATATGTTTTATCTCGATTGTATAGTCTGTTAAAAAGTTTCAATAAGATTATTTCCAGATGTTTAAAAAAAAATATATTCCTCAGGCAGTTTTGAGAACTTTGTATCGTATAATTTAAGTGCTATGAAACTTAATGTAATGTAAGATATTGGGTGGGCTGGTATATGATAACACTGCAGAAGTGGATAATAGATCTGGCCATGGTAAGTGCTACATGATTATCTGAAATTAGATCTTCACAGGAAATGACTTTGTTTTTCTGGAAGTATTTATTAGTGGACTCTCTCCTATATAAATGTACTTGGAAGAATTTGTCATTTTAGTTAGCTTTCAGCATAACCAACCAGCTTTCAGATACAGGTTCTTTCTTTTGTAAGCAGCTGGGAAATAGCACCGAAAATAGAGACTCTATGGGGGGAAAAAAGGCATGTTCTGAGATAAGTTGTTACTTGGTGGTGCCTTAATTAAAACTAGCAAATACTTAAAATGTTGAAATTCTGCTGCCACTTTAGTCCTAACGTCATAATCCCAACCAATAAATCTTTAACACGAGAGGAAGAGAGTAGAGCATCAAAGCATTTGAAGCAGGGATTGTGACATATTTCTTTTTTTCCCTTTAGTCATACAATTTTGCAAGAAAAATATAATCTGATAACACCTACAAAGGTTAAAGATGGTCTTTTCTTAGCAAGAGAGAGAAAGTAAAAAAGTAATTGAGATGAACAGGATCTGCTAATGCAAAAGATGATACAGATGGGGAGAAAAGCTTCCAAACCCTACACTCATCCTTACTTGCAGCAGAAATCCAGGCAGGGCACAAAGGCCCGTGTGGAGTCCTTGCTGCCTTTGCAAAATCCCCTTTAAAAGGGGGACTGAGTGAATAGTGCATTCCTGTTACTATTTTTCCCTCCAATTGGACTAATTTTCCACACATTCTTGTCAGTTTTCTCATTCCTTTATGGTTTTGTTTGCCAGACATAATGGTAACAGATGGTCTGAATCAACCTTGCTGTTTAGACTAGGTCAGTCTCATTTAGGTGACTTCTATAAACAGTTTTATGGAGCAGGTTGAGAATCCTTTTTTGTTTCCTTGCTTCTTACTGCATTTGCCTCTGTCAAGCATTTGTCAACAACAGTAGCAACTGTGCTCTTTGAGCTTTTTGCTGGGCAGTACCTCAGAAATGAGTCCTTGTTTCTGGCAACTCCCATTTTTTGCTTCACTGCTCCTTAGTAAGAAGCCAAAGCACTTGGGTTGCCACATACTGGAAAAGTGTAAATTTTTTTTTTATTCTAAACGAAAAAGCTTCTCCTATTCAGGCAATACCATGGCAGAGGCAGAGGTTCTCTCTCTTTTTCACCTGCTTTTCAGAATCTGTGCACACTCGTCAGTGCAGCCAGTAGGCTGGTTCAGCTGCAGCATCTCTGGGAGACCAAAGATGCCAGAGAGGCGAGCGCCCTGACCTGGGGCATGTCTGTGTACGCCTCTGCAGGTAAGCTACAGACAGCTTGGTGTGAAGTACTGAGTTCCTGAGTTCTCCTAGTTCCTTTTTTCATAGGTCTTTACTCAGTCATAGCAGGCGAAGATCTTGCCTTGGTTTCCCTCAGTGCTGACACCTGGGACTCAGATAACACAGTCTCTTGAAAACAAGTTTTATCTTTGACACCAGTGATAAAAAACAATGACTTAAAATGTGAATATGACCAAGAGAACTGGAATTGAAATAACTGAAAGACTGTCTTTATGAGGAAAACTTTTCCATCTTCTATGATGTAATAAAGTTACTAGTGTTCCAGCATGAAAAGGTGCTAAAATTTCAGGTATACAGTCAGACAATGCTAATTTTGAAAAGCTGTCTACAAATAAATACACACTTTAACTGAATGCCTTTAACTCTATGGCTACTTGTAATTACATTTCTTGACAGAATTTATGAACAGTCATTTGTGGAGTTCCTGTGGCAATTCCCCAGTGGTCTGCATGAGCAGTTCTACAGCTGTTTGTCAGAAGTGCCTTTTGCATCTTCACAAAACTCATTTGAAATATTCTCACAATAAAACTCATCATCCAGTGATGCTGGATCTATTTCTACGTGAAAAAAGTCAGTAATTACAAATTGTGGTGAACAGCAACAGTAAACTTTATAAATGCTTTTACTCTGCTGCAAGTGTGAAATAATTAACATTTAGGTTCCTTGTGGGAAGGGAAGCTGAATTCCTTGTATTTGCAAAACCCAAAGGCACACACGTGAACATTCCCAATGGTTAAGTCATCCTAACTCAACTGTGGCTGTAGCTCATTGTCAGCTCCTGAAAGAGGGGCTGAACAGAAAGAAAAGCAGTAAACTGACCACATCCAATCTAGAGTGATAGATGTAAAAATTCTAATTATATCTGTGATTTTCTCATTTAAAAAGACCCTTAATATATTGTCAGTCAGCTTTGAGAGCTTGATCTCCGAAGCCAAAATAATGAAGAGTGGACACACTAAAAGTGGGAATGTGTACAGTATATATTTTCATGCAAGATGATCTTCTGTTGAAAACCAGATATTTTATAATTTTTTAGAAGTATAAATGTGTCCTATGTGTTCCACTAATCAGAATTCATTCAATTTACAGCAAGAATTATTACAACTCTAATGACTACAAATGATTATGCAGGTGAGTGAAGTATGGAATTCTCTGCCTTTCCAAGGGAACGGCTGTCACAGTAGTTTTTACTTGTGTTGCAAAACACTTAGAAAGTCTCACAAGAACAAACCATGAATGTGACAGCTTAGCATGGTGAGGGCAGGAGTTACACAGGATTAAAAATGGTGCAACTGGTCGAAAAGGCTTTTTTTTTTTTTTCAAATGACAAAAGCACTACAAAATTAATTCTGAAAATAGCAAAATAAAGTATTAAAATATTTACTATTTTAATAAATAAATAAATATACAAAAAAACAAGTTTAAAAAACCTGTAGTAATTGAGTGAGATTTTCAAGTGATAAGTATTTCACTTATTGACAGCTTTTTGAATTAAAAATGTATTTTAGAGAACTAAAAACTAAAACTAGTATGTGAACAGTTTTAGGTCCAACATTGAGAAAGTTTATGGCAGGCTGAAAATAAAATGGTAGGCTAGTAAGAAATTTTTTAAAACTGACTTAAAATATATAATTTCCAACAAATTATAAAACAGATTTATTTAACAGCTTCTTACCATCCTGAGAAAACCACAAGAGCTAGGGAATGTCACAGATTTTTCAGTAAATTGTTCAAAATCAAGGCTTGGTGGATGCAAGAACAGTAACAATCCCTTTGTACTTCATCTGGTTCCTTGTTCTCGCTCAAAACTGTTTCATCAGAAACATCACTTGAATGGATTTTGTAATTTTGAAGCATCCTCTGCAGCCCAATAAAGCTGTAGCTTTGCAAGCATTTCAAGTGGGTCTTTCACTGGAAAGGGAAGTCCCATTTGTGGCCCACATTTCCACCCCCATGCCTGCTGCTTTTTCTTTGCCAAGGTAAGGAGTTTGTGGGGCTCTGCAGCTAACTGGTCACCAAAATTTCGCAAAATGCTCATGCAGGGATTCGGGCAGGGTCAGGTACTGAGTCCACATCACCCACAGCTACACATTTACACTGAGGGGGAGGGAGGAAACACCAGGAGAGCAAAGCTGGTGCTGGGTAAAGCTGCTGTTTGAAACACAGCACCATCCACTTTGGCACATGGAAGGGCCAGCAGCATCACTGATGCTGTGCTGCTCTAATGGAAAATGTTTCCCATTAAGCTGCAACACTGAACACATTGACACGTAGGAAACAGTCAGGTATCACATAGTTCTGAAACAGAGTTTTGTGTACATTTCTGTGAATATTCCACCTACCAAACAGACATCAGAAATACCTGTACTTTAAATACCTTCTCACAGGTAGAGGTACAGTGCTGTTATGGTTTAAAGCTGATTTAACTCAGGTACTGAAAAACTGGTTTTTTTGTCAGATTTTTTGTCATTAAAGTCTGACAGATCCAACTATCTCCTGTCTTCTCAAAGTCTAAACTTCAGAGATAGCAGTAGAGAGTAGTTCCTTTATTATAAATAACACTTGCAACTATAAAGGACATGTGAGCTGTGACTCTAAATTTAACTTCTGGTGTACATATAAATTTATATGAGGCTTCTCATGCTTGTACTATTCTCCAGGTTACAAAAGAATTAAAGGTACTGAAGTGTATAATTTTGAGCTATCTCTGAAAGTGATCAAGTGCCAAATGCTTGGATTCATGCTCAGAATGTGTGGATTCCTGAACGTGGCAATTGAAACTAATTGGCTGAAAACAGTTTCCAAATGTGAACCAGCCTGTGTGTACACCAGCAAAAGTTTACAAACCAGTGTTGTAACAGCAGTTGGTGTTTTTGATTTATGCTTACAATATTTTTTTTCTCTTTTAGTTCTCATCCGTTTCATAGTCATGCTCATTCTCAATATTTGGGTCACAGCCACAATCCTGCACTACAAGAAGATTAAAAAGACTGATTAGACGACACTCATCAGCACACATATCATTACCATAAAAAATATCATTAAGCCTAACGAATTTAAGAACTCTTCAAAGACTGAGGAAGCTCTCTTTCTCTAGTATTTACCCTTTAGCATAGTTACAGTATTTACAGTACTTACAGACTTACAGTATAGCACATTCATGCTTGCTTTCTCTTAGAAATAATTCTGATAAGATACTTAATTTAAGCAGCATATTTTTATTGGTCATTTCAGACAAGTTTCACTGATATCACATTTTCTCTGGATTTTTTTACTACAAGGTATTTCATAGTTAGATGTATATATATTCTGGTATCACTTCAGTACTTTCTGGTTACATATAAGCAATTTTCTTCAATTATACATGATCAATTTTGCACCAACATACTGACTTGTCCTGCTGCAAAACTGTAAAACCACAACAGAAGTTTGTCTTCTTCTTGCAAGCAACTCAGTTCAACATTAACTGTCTGTATTTTAGGATGAAGAAAATCTGAGTCAAGGCCCAATCCAGAATAAGGTTCTAATTACTAAATCACAAATCCAGTTGGATTGTAGCACTTACATGCAACACTTAAATAGTACAATTTATACAGCTGATACAGGATACCCATAGTCACTTTCCTCAGCATACCCAGTTTTTAATTGGATAAGAGAGCAAAAACTCAACTACAAATTATTTTTCAACCTGAGCTCTCATTCACTGAACATACTATTTTGGGAACAGCAGGGACAGGAATGTATGGGAATTAATGAAACTGTGGCCAACAGTTAAAAATACCGTTCAAGCAAAAGTTCCTGGAATGATATCCAGAATTCCCAAACACCATCCATACTGACAGTGACATGTGCACCTTGATGCATCTCAGCAGACTGATCTCCTGCAGTTGTCAGGTTTTGGTGATACTGCTCTGTGGTTTGTGAATTTTTGGCCTGTCAGTGCTAAGTGTGTTGAAGAACATGGACTTCACATAAACTTTTACTTCAGAAATTCTAATAAATTTTGTAGTACTTAGAGTAAAAAAGGGGAAAGGATATTCTTGACAACTATTAACAGAGGATTTTGGTTTTGAAAGTACTGCCTTCACAACCAAAAGTTATGTTAGTAATCATACAGCTTGCCTTCATTTAGCATTACATTCCCCAAAATTAAAAGATACAACATTTCAAGAGTTCTTACGGTATTCTGTTGATTGGCATGTAAAAACCTAGGCACCCTTGATCCCAACACCCTTGAAAACTATGGGAAGACTGCATTGACTCCATTTGAGGCAGGTTTTCTTTGAAACATTCTAAATTGTGTGACTGCTGTGGAGCAAAGGGATCTGCAAAAGCAGATGTTTCTGCCAGTGAGCATGCAGCAATCGGAGCATTCACCATCAGAAAGCAGCTGCTTCGTACTCTAAATTTTAGTGGGAAGGGCTGGGAAGAGATGTGTCTGTGGGCAGTGATTTCATGTATCCCACATCACTGACAGCAAGTCAAAGATGAGCTTTTCTTTACTGCTCCAATAAAAAGTCAAATCTTTCAATGTTGGTTGAAAGATTAATTGTAAACATTCTGATTTTACTAAATGTGTGTAAAGTATCTGAAGTGGTCTAAATGGTGGCAAGTGGCATGTGATATATTTTCCAGGTGATACTAATAAATGCAATTTTTCAAGATTGATAGTGTCATTTTTACAGTTAATTTTCATTGCATTTGAGTTTTTATTGTTTATTGTTCTCTCCATACATGGAGAGAAAATGAAATATTCATTACAGGTCATAAATGGGCAGCTTTCACCTTAACATTTGAAGCATCAGGCTGAATACTGACCTGCCAAATGCTAAAGAGCTCCAGCATCTTAAAATGAAAAAAACCACGGTTGCTTTTCAATTAAAGCCTTTTCTTGATAGAGAAAGATTTGTATGGAATTCAAACCCTCTCTGTTATTGACATCTTTCACACTCCTGAGTGATGCTGTAGCAAGATGAAGCTGCTCCATTTTTGGTTTGAGAATCAGCACCTCAAGATGGTTTTTTATCATAAAATACTGAAAATGCATTTAAGAACAGTTCTTAATAGGTTACTTAATGCATTTTGAATAAATCACCTTAGAAACCTGTGGGAAAAAAAGACTGAGGAAAACAAATAAAGCTGGGTAATTAATGAACTTAAGGTAAAGTAATTTTGTGGACTTGGAAAGCTGGACCATGAGTTCTGATTCAAGCTGCAAGAGATATGGAACAAATCAGAAACTAGCAGTAAATAGTTGTACACACTTTTTCCTCTCTCAGAGAGTAACTTCCATAAACAGAGGCACATTCAAATTCCAGGCAAGCCCCACGAAAGCGCAGGCACTGTGTTTTCCAGTAAGTAAAGAATAATCTTCTCGGTGGCTGGATTAAAGGCAACAGCTTTAGACAAACATAGGCAGGATAAATCTTGTTAAACTTGTCATTCACCAGTATCAGGGTGGAAACAGGGAGGTCATTGGCTGTGTAATGCAGCAGCAGGGCAAAAGCAAGCAGGGAAAGCATCTTGGATTTACGGCAGAAGGTGTAAGCAAGTAAGCAGCTCTTGTCCACAGGGCTGGAAGTAATCCAGCCCCATTCACAGATACTGTACAGGTGTGGAATTACACACTCGGTGTCTAATTGTACCAGTTCACAACATGCTCACAAGGTAACACAACTTGTCCTGCCCTGGCTGACTAAGTATGTGTCTTGCCGGGGCTTTCAAAAACTTTGAGTCTTCTTGTCTGTGAGAAGACAAGCTCTGAGTTCCAGTACAGTCCACTAAATAACCCCAAGAACCTCCAGCAGTGGCTGTGACAAACTGTGACTGGATTGGGCAGCAGGTAAGCTAGAAGCTCACTTCAGCTGTATGAGAGAGAAAACATTTACCATGAGATTTACTCTTGAAAGAAGGAGGATGTGAGCCCAGAGACAGCAGGCTGCAGGTCTGGACATAGATGTGGACAGGGGAAGAGGTGTATAGTTTATTTGTTCTGGACTGTCCTCAGTGAACAAACACTGAACACAAATGCAAACGCATCCTCTCCCCTCCCTATGGGCGTCCCTTAGCACTGGGCATTCTGTGTGAAGCAGACACAGATCTTTCCTTGTGCTGCTCCAATCCACCAAGGGATGGGATTGCTTGGACTGCTCAGGAGCCCCTCTCCCTGCCGGAGCCCCAAGCCTCTGTCTGCCTTACGCTGTGAACGTGGCTGCTCCCCAGCCTGGCTCTGCTCAGCTGATCTACTGAAACACAAGAGAAAGGAGTGGGCTGGGGAGGCAGGGACAGCCCCCAACCGCTGCGGGTTGAGAGCTGGATTTTAGTGCAGTTTGACTCTGGAGACCAAAGTAATTCAGAATTAGCTGAATGGCCCCAATCTTATAAAACACCTTTACTCACTTCTTTAAATGTGGTAAAATTACTCTTCCTCCACCAAACAATCATCCACTTAGTGACATATGTAATAGGGGGAAAATTAAAAAAGGAAATAATAGCTGAGTCCAGGCAAGGAACTATTGTAAATGAAAAACTCCACAGATGTGGAGATAACTGATATGAGGTAGTTTCCCAGCCATGTATTTTCCCTGATGATAAATAATAATGACTTCCCTCCAAATTCTCTTCAGGCTGGTTTTTCCTCTCTCTTCCAAGTTCTTCCATACTTGAAATTCATATTTATGTATGAAGCAGAACATGAAATGTCACTGTCATCACCAATAATGGTCTAAGGATATCTCACTTTTGAAGGTGAGGAAACTGAAAAAAATATCTTAAAATAGGATGTTCTAAAGTTCTTGGTTTGTACTAAATTAAACTTGCTGGATTTTGAGCCAGGGTTCTCCAGGACACTTCGCAGTTCTCGGTGATGACAACTGTTGAGGTCAAACAGGTGCCTGGGAGCCACAATGAACATTACTGTAAGAATCTGACAGATCATCACTTGTGATGGATCCAATTACAAGACCTTGCAAGCCTCACAGACCTGAGTCCTGATGGACCTCAGGTGTTTCCTGTCTAGTGGCAAGACAGACACGCAGTCATTTTCAAGTTAAAGGTGTCAGCTATTCCATTCTACATTGGCAGTAGTTTGGGGCAGCCATCTGTGTCTTGGAAAAAAAATTCAATCTTTGGGCTAGGAGTAAAGTAAGAGATTTTTACATCATAGTTTTGATGAAATTTAATTTGGGATACTTGAAGAACAGTTTAAATAATTGTCACAATTTTCTTCATACCCTGTTTTATTATTTTATCTTAGAACTTTCTTAAATTGTCAGAAGCCTAAACAGGTACCTCTGTGCATTATGTGGTATCACTGACTCACAGGGAGGGAGCTTTAAGAGGGCAGACACTTTATCTGTCAGGTATTCTGCAAAATGATGTAAAGAACAGAACCTCCATCAGTCTAAAACATGACAAGTTGGCTCATGATGGTTCTGATTCAAACTGTGTAGTAACAAGGCTCCATGCTGAAAATCAATTCTACTTACTACCTTATTATAATTGCAAGTCATCTGAGTATATGCCTGCTCTGGAATGTACAAGATTTCTGCTTTGGAATGCGAAGGCTTTGGCCAGCAGTACCAAGACCCATACTATATGAAAATCATAAATGGAATAACACACATCCTGTGCCTCACTGGAGCCTCTGTCAGGTAAATCTTAATGAAGCACGATTTGAGCTTCGATAAAGCATATTTTAAATAATTACTGGAGAGAAGTTCTTTCACCTTTGAACAGCTGACTATATACAGATCCTGTACAGTGGTCTTTCAAGAGTCTGACTTATTTTGTGAGGGTTTTTTTCCCCCATGAAATGCACTGTCAGCACAACTTACATTCTTCATGGACTCTCTGAGCTCATGGGCATTTTCCTCTCTCAGCCATGTTGGTTTTTTTAATTTGCACAAATGCCCACCTTCCAGCAATACAACTCCCATTGCTGTAGCTCAGAACAGAGCTGGCAGGGGAGCCTCTCCCCATGGCTCCAGATTGGACTAAAGGCTACGCAGATCCTACTGAGTCTCAAGTGGCCCCCAGGACACAGGGATTGTAATATGCTGGAAAACATCACACAGACACATGAGACCATGGGATCCAGCAAGCAGATTCAAGTCTTGAAGCTGCAGCCAGACCTGTACCCAACTGCAAGGCCTGCTCCAAGAGCCTACCAGAAAATGAACAGTTGATGTCAGAGACAGGGCAAGGCGAGCCAGTATGAAACAGAGCTCAGACCTCAGGTGGGGTATGCAGCTCCTTCAGTCTTAAAAACATAAAGGGATTTAATATCTCAGGTAACTCTAAAACAAGTTTCTATCAGTTCACTTGTTAATAAAAAGTAGCACTTATTGAAGGCAACTCAGTGCCCAAAGTCTCAGCAGTTGGTGATGCAAAGGACAAGAGGACTGGCTGTGATCTCACAAGCCTGGTGTGCAGTCGCTGGATAGCCATGCTTACCAAGTGGTGCAAGAGCATCCTGGCCTATTGCAAAAAGCACCCCAAACAGCAATGACAAATGACAAGAACTACATGACATGGGGCCCACAGGGACAGTATGCAGAGAAGCAGGCACACATCTCTGAACAAACACTGGAGGCCTTGACCTTAAAATGAGGTGGTAAGACTGAAGGATCCCATGCAGTTGTCTTGGCTGTGGAAACATTTCTGTGCAGCTCCTCCAACAAGTAAGGGCTGCAGGGACATGACATTATTGGACTCTCTGCCCTTTCTTTTCAGGGTGATGATGTGTTTTTCCAGAGTTCTTTAAGGTATCAAGACTACATACACTTATAATTTAAATTTTGTGACCTTTCACCATTACTTTCATTTTGAAAGCTCACTTTCATCTTGCACGTTCTACAAGATTATTGGAGCAAAAGCAGCTGCAGTCAAATCCAAGGCTTCACCCTTGCAATATCGAGTAGTAATGTGGCTTTCTTACCTTTATAAAACACTGCTTCCTGCCTACAAAGTGGCAAAGATTCCACACCCCAATTTTCATTAATAAGACCGGGTAATTAGCATCCCTGTGCCAATACATTATTTTCTCTACATCCCCACTCTTAAGAAAGAGCTATGTTTCTACAGCTACAGCTTTTCCATTCACTGCAGTTGTTTCTGGGGAGAACTAGGCTGGATGTGTTTTGAGTATTCTTCTCTGCCACACACATTGCAGTAGACTTGTCCAGTTTCTCAGATGAGAATGTCTGAGCATGTATACCTGTCCAATTTTTAGGCAACTTCAGCATCGAACACAAATTGTATTTTCAGAACCACTCCATCAATATCTTTTACGGAGATTAGAAAGAAGAATCCTCCCCACCCTCACGAGGGGTACTTCAAAGCAGCAGGCAAACTCTGTGATCCTTGGGATTCTGATAGAACCCTAAATGATTCAGAAGATTATCTTAAAAAATAAGAAATAATGTTTTTAATTTAAAGTGTACTATGTGTAGAGATGATTACTTGTAAAAAACTGTAATGCACTGAGAAAGGCACCAAGCCTGTCAGAGGTCAAGGACTGTCTAGATCATGCTTTTAGTCATATGGTTTAGTTTTAGGTAGTTCTGTGAGGAGCAGAGAGTTGGACTCGATCTTTATAGATCCCTTCCAACTTGATGTATTCTATGATTACATGAGAAAATAAATTAATCATTATTGTAACATGAATGTCAAGGCAAACTACCCAGGAATGTGGAGGAGACTGAAATACTCCAGTTTACTGAACTGGACCTTGTTCTTCTGCCTCACAATCAGAATAAGGAGGTGATTAAGGGTTTGTATGAGCAATGCAGGTAAGAAGTTTGCTTTCATATAAGCTCCCCCTTTTCACAGCAGCATCCCATATACAACCTCACAAGCACAGGATGGGTAAAGGCACTTGGGACCAAAAGATATAATTCTCTTTTAAGGATGATTCTCTCAAAGCTAGATGGGAAATTAATACATTGTAAGATTACAAACAGAAAGGCTCAAATTTCTAATGATCACTTGACATTAGAAACAAACAAGAAACTAAAGAGAAAAAGCCCATAATTTCAGTGGCAGCTTTCCTGGCCTTGGTGCCTTCAGAGAGCCACTGAATGCCTGTCAAAATGTAGGAGGTTCAGTGTTTTCAAGAGGCAGTAAGAGAAAGTAAGTGAAATTTCAGTGATGTTTTAAATTTGGCCCCTGTCACTGCCAAGATCTTGAGCCTCCTGCATGTTTCCAAGTCCTACATCCTACTGTGATTCTGTGTCATGTTTTTGGTTACAGCATCAGCCATGCTCAGAAGCACAAGAACTACCACAGTTTTCCTCTAGTTAGAAGCAGACCTGGTGCTGGGTTGCTGGCAGTGCTGGAGGAGCTGCACTTTGGCAGGGACCACAAGAGGTAGGGAATTGCAGCACACAACTAGGACAGAAGTGGAAATCTCATTGCAGAAAGGTCTTTCTGACACCTGACAAGGTAACTTCAGTGGGATGTGCCTGTCCTTCTGTTCTGGTGAGCTCTTGGGACTGGGAACTAAGGAGCAATTTCTGTACAAGTGCCTTGAGCTTCTGGCTCCAACTCTGACCTCTGGTTTCCCAGAAGATTAATCTGCAGCTTGGCTATACCACTTCTTTATGCTTGTGAGACAAAAGGACTTGCAATGAGAGAATTTTCTATAGGTAAGTCATTCAGGCCATAAAAATGTCCTGTTTGCTTAGGACAAGACTGTAACAAAAAGAAAATGTTAAAACATCAGTGACTTTCAAGACAAATACTCCTCAGTTCATGAATATGCCCTTCTCTCAAAAATATTAAAAGGTCACCACTAGATAATAAGGAAACAACACAAAACTCCAGGAACTAGCATTAAAGAGGTGTTTGCATTTCACAGCAGGGTAAGGGAGAAGAACAGAAGAGCAGCTCTGCTTTCTTTCTGTGTGCTGGGTACAAAGTGAGGTTTGCGCACCTCAGCCCAGGGGCCTTGAGGAAGCTGTGCTAAGTGAGCTCTGCTCTGGGCAGAGCACAGGAGCCCAGTGCTCCTGCACTGCTCCCCGACTCCGTCTCAGCACAGCCTGCTGTCCGTACAGCTAAGGACTGCTTGTACAAGCATGGAATTCCACACTGGGACTAGCAATACTATCATATAGTACATCTCCTAAAATGTCAGGCTCAGCAGGGCCCCGTGGACTCACAGTAAATGAGGGCAAGCCAGGGAAAGAAAGTGCAAAGGATCCAGCCCCAGCAGTGGAGGAGCTGCCAAACAGCTCCCCTGGAATCTGCTCTTTCTCCAAACACACAGCCTTTGCTGGGCTGCCTTTGGAGCAGCCCTTGCCTTTCCCATATCTGCTGCAGTAGTTATCTTTAGATTTAAATATTTCAATTAATTACCAGCTTCTCAAGTTCAGGAACTATTTTACCTTACTCAAATAGTTTATTTAAAAATATATATATATATATAATATTCTCCAATTCAGAAAAGGATAGAACTTCCCACAATGTAACATTTTTTTATATATATATATAAAATATTTATGCATTCAGTGAATGGAAACAGTTTTACTGTATACATTTTTAATGTTGTACTCTATGCAAATCTGCATTATCTAAAAATATACCGTACTTCTGTAAATCAAAATAAGCAGGGAAAAACCACCGTAGCTGTACTCTGGGTTATAATACCTAACAGAAATTATATGAAAGTTTTAGTTTTGAATTTAAGAACTCACAAACAATATTTTACTTTGTGAGCACATAAATAGAAGACTGAATACATTCTTGCTTTGTTAAGCTGAACTGTAGTAGAGGTTACAAAATGTAAATATATTTATTAATTTTCAGTATTTCAGTGTTTCCAAGTCCACTTTTCATGATAGTGTTAAATAAAACATGGTCCTATCCTTCCAAACATTTCAACACTCTTTAAAAACAAAAACAAACAAACAAAATTTTAAAGTGAAATGTCCTCCTTCATTGAAGTGTTAGATCATATTTTAAATTACTGCACTCCCACACAATATTTTATATATATATATATTCTAAATATATATATATATTTATATATATATAAAGAGACCAAATAGGAGACTACATTTTTTACTGTCAATATGTTTAACATCACATACTGTAGTTGTATAAAACATGCATTTTCTGGGATAATTATGAACACATCATGAATGAGCCCATATATATTATATTTTTTGTACAACTCCAAGTTTAAAAAAAAGTCAGAATAAGTGCCTCTGAGGCCCTTTCTTCCCAGCTATCAGTTCTCAAAACACACTACTGAATTTTTTATCTATGCCTACAGCTATGTGCTAGAGAACCAGATTAAAACTTTAAAATACATCTACAGTATGTTTCACTTTTCTTAAAGTTTGTGACAGTCCTCAGATATTGTGTTGTGAAATGTAAAAATAGTCACAGATTCTTTTATTTTCCAGAAATAAAAAAAAAACACATCTAGGAGAGTATGCAAAAACAAGGCAAAATGAAGTTTCATAGCACTTAATGAGGGTTAATATAAGTCAATAAGGAGTATTGAGGTTTGTAAAAAGGGCTGGATGAGCAGTTACATGTACAAGCAAATGGTCTGGTAAATCCCATGCTCTGAGACATTGTTTCTGTAACCAACACTTCTCCACCCTTAAAACCAGTTGATATACATTCAAAATAGATTGACACTGATATACTTAATAGGTGTAAAAATAGTGCACTATTTTTTCTGCCACAAAGCAAAACTGCATCCTAAGAGCTGGTAAACTTTCTTTTTCCTTAAATAGAAAGAATGGGCAAAAAAAACTTGAAAAAAATTTAAATTAAGGCAATTAGACAGGTACAAGGGGACTGCCCATGATGATGTAGCTGAAACTAGTATATACTTCAAACCTATACTAGCTGCTGAACACTGACATGCAGCTTCTGATAGATGTGTATGAATGATATAAACTTCAACATTATGGCTTTATACAAGTGCATAGTTGCAACTGCAATAAGTAACGGTATCTGATTAATAAGCATAAAAAAATAAAGTGGAAAGATTTTTAAACCCCTCTTGCAGTATTACAGTACAATATATTTACACAGTTTAATGGTCACTTCTCACAGATGAAGTCTCTATCACTGTGGTGGATCCTCCTCCGGTTCTACGTGCAGACATGCTGGTGGCATCTTTACCAAAGCTGAAAAGTCAGTTTCTTCCATTGCAATACTCATTCCTCTCGATCCTTTTATGAAATGTAGTGTATGTGTCTTGCCAAGAAAGCTTTTGTGGAACAGAGCTTAAAAGGTTACCTAACATATCCTTTGACTATTTACCAACCATTCCTCAACTGATCAGTCACTTGGGAGAATACAGGAAAACCCTCAGAGATTAGTAATTTATATTGCAGCAAAAATGTAAACCTCTGATATATATAGCACAATCTCTCAGGAAAATATATATTTTTAATATATTTTGGGATATGTTTCAGTCTTGCTGTAATGGGAAGAAAATTATCACCTTGACTGTGTCTGCATTCACGGAAAGCAGTTAGCTGAAAAAGAAGCAGGAAGTTTGGTCAGTAAGTGCAACAAATGTAAATCTGACAAAAATATACTTCTTCAAAGTCTTCCTTTAAGATTGGTTCATCATTGTACTTGTGAGAAGCGCCTTTCCTCTGCATCCAACAGCAACATTACTCCAGTATAGCACATCCTTACACACTGTAA